CCAAGGCCTGGGCACTGTCCCTGAGCTCTTCAGCTCAAGGCTAGTGCCACAGTACCACTTCTGGCTTTTTCTGCTTATGTGGTGCTGAGGAATGGAACCTCATGCATGCAAGGCAAGCACTCTACCACTGAGCCATCTTCCCAGCCCCCACGCACTTCCAGTTTTTAGGTGGTTAATGGGAGCTCAGAGGCTAATGGTCTTTCCTGCCCAGGCTGGCTTCAAATAGTGATCCTCAGATCTCAGCCTCCTGAGTAGCTAAGATTACAGGTGTGAGTCACCTATAACTGAACTATAAAGGGGCATATCTAACATACCTTGCCTATAGGATGTTTAGCATGACTGGAGTTGTCTCTCATGTCTTCTTTTATCTCTGATTACATTTAGTTTTCATGTACCCAGTTCTTTTCTGCAATATTTAGAACCAGACAACATCCTCAGTATAATTTTAAGGAATTAAATTTTAGAAAATAAATGAATCAATGCATAAGTATTCTGAGCCAAAGAACAGGACTATGTTTTCTTATTTTTTTTATGTTTTCATTTTCTAAGCCCCTTTGTCTACAGTGGCAGAACAAGATCATCCTTACTTGCATTTCTCCAGCTGTGTAACAAATCATCTGTGGAAAACTAGTTAACTAAAAACATGGCTTTCTCTGATTTATCCCAGTGATGATTTAGCTCCTGTATGAGTAGCTATTGCCTCTCCCCAAGTGGAATATTTACTGTTTAATTCAATTTGAACACTGTCTACCTGGAACTAGCAGATCTCACAGTTTGAAGTCCCCCCCCCCCCCCCCCCCCCCCGATCGTCCTGGCCCCACTTCAGATGCTGAGTTAGCTTTCTGCCATGGGATAGCCAACTTACAAAGAGAAAAAAAGATTTGGACATTACAGTCCATAAATGCTTAGAGTCTGTGGCAAGGGAGCAGATCATGGCACGAGCCAAAACTGTTCCCTTTATAGCTCCAAGTGAATTAAAAACCTCCCACTAGGCCCCATTTCATAAAGGTTTCACCATTTCTAAGCACCACAAATAGTGCCATTCTAAGGTTCAATCTGTTAAAACACATAGACCTAACCCAGGGCAGATGGCTCACGCTTGAAATCCTAGCTACTCAGGAGGCTGAGATCTGAGTATTACAGTTCAAAGCCACCTTAAGCAGGAAAGTTTTCTCGTGGGGCCTGAACTCTGGGCCTGGATGCTGTTCCTCAGCTCTTCAGCTCAAGGCTAGCGCCCTACCACTTGAACCACAGTACCACTTCCAGCTTTTCTGCTTATGTGGTGCTAAGGAATTGAACCCAGGGCCTCGTGCATGCAAGGCAAGCACCCCAAGCACTCTACCACTGAGCCACCTTCCCATCCCCAGGCAGGAACATTTTGTAAGACCCTTAACTCTAATTAACAGCAAAATGCTGGAAGTGGAGCTGTAGCTCAAATGATAGAGCATTGACCTTGAGCAAAAAAGATAATGGACAGTGCCCAGGGCCTGAGTTCAAGCCCTATGAGCAGCACAAGAAATAAAAACAAAACAAAACAAACAAAAACCCCATTTGGATCTTTGAGAAACATTCAAGATCCAAAAAATATCAGATTTCAATCACAGGTCCCAGATTGAAACCTGTGCTTCGAACTGAGCAGCTGTACCAGTTTCCCATGACCTCTTTCTTTTTATTTTATCTTATTTATTTTTCTTTTTTTTTGTTGGTCGTGGTGCCTGAACTCTGGGCCTGGGCACCATCCTTCAGCTCTTCAGCTGTAGACTAGCGAGCGCTCTACCACTTGAGTCTCAGCCCCACTTCCAGCTTTTTCTGCTTATGTGGTGATGAGGAATTGAACCCAGGGCCTCATGCATGCAAGGCAAGCACTCTACCACTGAGCCACCTTCCCAGCCCCATTCCCATGACCTCTTTTTTGGGATTAATTTGCTAGAATAGTTCACAGAAATCAGGAAATAGTTTACATATACATTTGCTTATTTGTTCAAAAGGATATTTTTTTTGGGGGGGTCCGGTCGTGGGGCCTGAACTCTGAGCCTGAGCGCTGTCCTTCAGCTCTTCAGCTCAAGGCTAGCACTCTACCACTTGAGCCACAGCACCACTTCCGGCTTTTTTCTTTTTGCTTATGTGGTGCTGAGGAATCGAACCCAGGGCCTCATGAATGCAAGGCAAGCGCTCTACCACTGAGCCACCTTCCCAGCCCCCAAAAGGATATTTTTTAGAAAGGACACAGATGAATAACCAGATGGAAGAGATGCACAGGGAAAGGATGCAGAGCTTGCGTGCTATTGACCATGCACCTCTATGCATTCAACAATCAAAGGCCTTGGAACCCGGTCCTTTGGGGTTTTATGGGAGATTCATTGTATAACCATGTTTGATTACATGCTATTGATGATTAACTCTTCAACACCTTCAACACCTCTTCTGCTGCCAAGATGGCATTTTTCTGTGCATGCCTTGGAGGGAATGATTGGTCTGCCCCACATGGCAGTAGACAGAAGGCCCAGGGAGTCGAATCCTGATGGTGTTCTCAAGAGGGTGGTAGTCTTTGCAAAGTACCTTTTCAAAGCCTCACTTTTGGTTGCCATTTCCTTGACCATTAAGTTCCCAAACCTGAACTTTAATGAGGATACATTGAAATCATAGCAATATGAACATTTCATTTACTCAGCAAATACTTACCCAATGTCTTCATGAGGCACATAATAGTGTCTGATGGTATTGTGGATTACAAATTTTACAAATTTTTTTCTTTTTTTTTTTTAATTGTTGGTTGTGGGGCCTGAACTCTGGGCTTGGGCACTGTCCCTCGGATCTTCAGCTTAAGGCTAGCACTCTACCACTTGAGCCACCATGCTACTTCCGGTTTTGTGGTGGTTTATTGGAGTAAAAGAGTCTTCCAGACTTTCCTGCCCAAGCTGGCTTTGAACTGCGATCCTCAGATCTCAGCCTCCTGAGTGGCTAGGATTACAGGCATGAGCCACAGGTGCCCGACTACAAATTTCTTGATCAAAATAGGTTATCTGGAAAATATTCAAATAATGAGTGTAGAGGTCAATGAATTATAAAGTGACTATAATGACCTGGGTTCCAACTAGCTCCTCTCCTGCCCTCTCCCAAATATAGCCCTCCCCGTGTTCTCCAAAGAGAACTACTATTGACTTTTAACACTGGAGTGGTAACACTTTGGATACATGAAATCATATTCCTAGCTTTTTTGATAATATAGTACATGTGTGACTGGTCCATAATGGGTATAGAGTTCAGATCTGTCATCTCATTGGCGAATTGTATTCCATCACATGAATATATGACAACATGTTTATCCATTCAACTGTTGCTGGATGCTAATGCTTGGGTTGTTTCAAATAATAAGCACCTGTGAGTGTTTTGGTAGATATATTTTAATCCAAATGTGTAGTTCTTTTTCCTGTTGGGGTAAATATATGCGTATGTTCAACTTTATGAGATAAAATCAAACTCTGCCAGGCTACTTACTCATTCATACACACACATACACACTTAGTTCTGGTAACTGGGATTTGAACTCAAGGCCTAGGCACTGTCCCTTAACTTTTTCCACTCAAGGCTAGCAATTTGCTACTTGAGCCACAGCTCTGCTTTTAGCTATTTTTTTTTTTTTGTTGGTCATGGGGCTTGAACTCTGGGCTTGGGCACTGTCCCTGTGCTCTTCAGCTCAAGGCAATCACTCTACGGCTTGAGCCACAGTGCCACTTCTGGTTTTCTAGTGGTTTATTGGGGATAAGAGCCTCATGGACTTTCCTGCCCAGGCTGGCTTTGAACCGGGATCCTCAGATCTCAGCCTCCTGAGTAGCTAGGATTACAGGTGTGAGCCACTGGTGCCTGACTACTTTTAGTTTTTTATGGTTAATTGGTCATAAAAGTCTCTTGGGGCCAGGCGCTGATGGTTCATACCTGTGATCCTAGCTATCAGGAGGCTGAGACCTGAGGATCGCAGTTCAAAGCCAGCCCACATAGAAAAGTCCGTGAGACTCATCTCCAATAAACCACTCAGAAAACCTGAAGTGGGGCTGTGGCTCAAGTGGTAGAGTGCTTACCTTGAGCTGAAGAGCTAAGGGACAGTGCCCAGGCCCAGAGTTCAAGCCCCACAACCGGGAAAAAAAAAAAAAAAAAGAGTGTCATGGGCTTTCTTTGAACTGCAATTCTCAGATTTCAGCATTATAGGCATGAGCTACTGGTGCCCAGCTTTGTGCCTGTATTTTTGATTTTCAGAAACTATTGAGATGATAAGTGTTTGTTGTTTTGAGCTGATGAATTTTGCAGTGATCTGCTATGCAGCAGTGCACAGCTAATGCATGCCTTTTCTGAATGTTCAATAAACCTTCCTGAAATATTTTCCTTACTCACTTTCTTTTTTTTTGGGGGGGGGGTCTGATCGTGGGGCCTGAACTCTGGGCCTGGGCGCTGTCCCTCAGCTCTTCAGCTCAAGGCTAACACACTACCACTTGAGCCACAGCGCCACTTCCGGCTTTTTTCTTTTTGCTTATGTGGTGCTGAGGAATCGAACCCAGGGCCTCAGGCATGCAAGGCAAGCGCTCTGCCACTGAGCCACCTTCCCAGCCCTCCTTATCCACTTTCTATTTCTCAGAAAATTTAAAAATAATTTGTGATTACATTCTGATTTGGGTACAATTACATAAGGATAGAATAATTGCAATGATTTGGCATGGATGGATTTTTGTGTATATTAATATAGCTCAATATATATGTACATACATGTGAATTATAGACACATACATGGGTTATAATTCTAATTACAGTATATCTATATATTGTATTTATGTATGTTTCTATCTGAACTTCTGTAACTTTATAATGCCCATAGGCACAATGTTAATATATTAGATGTTTTTAAATGATCTTAATTACACGTTTATTAAAATGAACCTATAATTCCTAGAAGTGGAAGGAAATAAATTGCTGTGATGTCAACTGGGGAGTCCCAGAAAATTCTGGATATGGAGAGCTTCCACACTAGGTTCAGTGCTTGGACACCTTTTAGCAACAAGTCTTTAAATAGACAAGTGAGTTATATATTTTATTGAACTTTACACATGTAATTTATAAAGTCAATTTTACCATGATGCCTTTTTTTTTTGGGGGGGGGGGTGTCCGGTCATGGGGCCTGAACTCTGGGCCTGGGCGCTGTCCCTCAGCTCTTCAGCTCAAGGCTAGTGCTCTCCCACTTGAGCCACAGCGCCACTTCCAGCTTTTTTCTTTTTGCTTATGTGGTGCTGAGGAATCGAACCTAGGGCCTCAGGCATGCAAGGCAAGCGCTCTACCACTGAGCCACCTTACCAGCCCCATGATGCCTTTTTTTGAGGTCAGTTGTGGGGCTTGAATTCTGGGCCTGGGCACTGTCCTGTGCTCTTGAGCTCAAGGCTAGCACTCTACCTCTTGAGCCACAGTGCCACTTCCAGTTTTCTAGTGGTTTATTGGAGATCAGAGTCTCGTGGACTTTTCTGCCCCGGGCTGGCTTTGAACTATGATCCTTAGATCTAAGCCTCCTGAGTAGATAGGATTACAGGCGTGAGCCACCAGTGCCGAGCCCATGACACTTTTTGTTTGTGTGTTTAGGGGCTTAAACAACTTGAGGGTTAGGGCACTCTGAGCTTTTTTGCTCAAGGCTGTGTGGACCACTTGAACCACACCTTTACTCTGACTTTTTTGTTTGTGTGTTTAGGGGCTTAAACAACTTGAGGGTTAGGGCACTCTTAGCTTTTTTGCTCAAGGCTGTGTGGACCACTTGAACCACACCTTTACTCTGGCTTTTTGATGGTTAATTGGAAATAAGACTCACACAAACCTTGGTGTTGAGGCTCACTTCAACTATGAACCTCAGATCTCATCCTTCTATAGTAGTAAGGACTCTAGGTCTGAGTTACTTGCATGTGGCTATTATATATTGAGTTCATGTTTTTGCTTTTTGTGCCAGTTCTGGCACTTGAACTCAAGGCCTGGGTGCAGTCCTTGAGCTATTTTGCTCAAGGCTAGGGCAATACTACTTGAGCTACAGCTCTACCTCCAGATTTTGGATGCTTCATGGGAGATAAGAATGCCTATGGACAATATTGCCTTCACTGGCTTTGAACCCTGATCCTTAGATCTCAGCCTTTGCGTAGCTAGGATTCCAGGCATGAGCCACTGGTGAGTCGCTAAAAGAGTGAGCTTTTATGTGTTTTCAAGATGGAATCTGTTTCCCTAGGCCACATTAACCAAAGTTGAAACAAGAGCTGGGAGTCATTACCTCTTTGTTTTCCTTTCTGTAATTACATCCCTGCCAGTCATTGGCATTGGCCACCTCACAAGCCCGGGCCTGCCTGCGTCCTTGAATAGAAACAGTGTGCGCTGAAAGCACAGCCTCCCTCCAACATATGTTAAAGCACTTTGTGAACTGTAATATGCTGTGCAAATACTCGTTGGAGGTTGTTAGCAGGTTGTCTAAAGATTGCTTGGCAACTGAAAATCTACGGGGCAGGCACAGTAACATATATCCTTTAACTCTTTTCCAGCTTTTCCAGGAAAGAGTTGCTCTGATAAGTCACTGGTTTGACCTGTGGACCAACAAACAACGTCAGGAATTCTTGTTCACGATGCTTTTACGATGCACTAAATCACAATTACGGTAAGTGTAGCCTCATGATGTAATCATCCTTGGTTCTTAAAACAAAAACTAGCTAAATGTTTATATAACCTTTCAAGGTTTTTCTTTTCCCTATTTAAGAAAAGAAAAAGTCTTCTTGAAACTGAATTGGAGCCTGGGAGAGAGAGTGGAATCTGACCACTTTTCTTACCTTGGAGAGGCTGTGATGATGATGATGATGATGTAGTTGTACAAAGAGATTTCAGTTCCATGTCAGATGATGAGCACATCAGTCACTGTCGCCCATTTCATCATTCTCCCCTCCCCCTCCCCTCCCTGTGCTGAAGTTACATAGTCTATTTTTACACAACGTACAGTGAATATAAGGGCTGCGTTTGTTCTTCCTTCCTTCCTCCATTTGTGTGCCCTCTCTCTCATTCCCCCACCCCCCAGCATGCTTCTGCTTCCTGGTATTTCTTTTGTTAAACAGTTCTTTAGTTGTTCAGAGAACTTACACCATTGGATTCTTCTCCCAGGTATATTTCATCCTTTAGTCTGTTTGTTTGGAATGTATATACTTGAGCCCCCTCTGCCGCCCCTTACTCTTTTTTGTTTTTACAAAACAAAAAAAAAGCAATAAACAAACAAAAATCCTGTCTAGGGCTTCAACCAGTACATATCATTTCTTGGGGGGGAGGGGAAGCTGGTATTGGTACTTAAACTTAGGTCCTCAACCTCTCTTACTTAGCTTTTTCTGTGCTCTATTACTTGGGCCACAGCTCTACTTCCAGATCTTTGCTGGTTAATTGGAGATACCCGGATTTGTCTGTCCAGACCAGCTTTGAACCCTGATCCTCAGGCCTCAGATCCTCAGATGTCAGCCTCCTGAGTAGTTAGGAGTACAGTCATAAGCCACCAGCATCTAGCTCAACCAGTATATTTCTAAGATTCTCTTGATTTGTTAAATTCTTCTTGAAGCTATTAGACAGACAATATATTCCAAATGGGTACCTGATACATAGGAAGTTACTTCATAAGGGATTGTTAAATAATGAATGGATCTTAGAAATATGAGAAGTGGCAATAGTAGTGACATTTAGAGATATGAGCAAGACATATGTTGGTGACCAGCAACCACCACTGTACCCCTTCTCTTAATCTTCCCTTGCCTCTGCTCCTAAAATACGTCAGTGTAGATATTGTCACATTTGCTTGTTGGAATTACACCCAGGGGTAGCTAGGGCTCTGATCAGGAATTGGTACTCTAAGGGTCATTAGCTTTCTCTAGTTTGTAAAGGTCACAGTGTCTCAGTCACTTGACTCTCAGAATCAGTTATTATCAGAGCACCTAGAGGCTTGTTAGCTAGTCAGATAAGTGTTAGATACTGACTCTTTGGTGAGATTAGGGGAAAACAAGATGATTGGGAATATTCTAGAGAATTCTTCATTGTATCCTAGACCAGATTGAAGAACCCCAGTGGGTCATTAGCAGATCCTTAAGGATGGTTTCCCAAAATAATGGCTTTTGTGGGGATCAGTCTGGGGGATTTCTGGTGGACTGAGTACAACAACAAAAGTAATAATAGAATTTTCTGGAACATGGTTCTCTTTCTTTCTCCCTTTCTTTCTTTCTTTCTTTCTTGTCTTGCCAGGCCTGGGACAAGAACTCAAGGCCTGGGCACTGTCCCTGAACTTCTTTTGCTCAAGGCTAGCACTCTACCACTTGAGCCACATTGTCACTTCCAACTTTTTCTGTGTATGTGATACTGAAGAATTGAACCCAGGGCTTCATGCATGGTAGGCAAGCACTCTACCACTAAGCCACATTCCCAACCCTGAAATAATTGAGACAATTTTATCTCCATTGAATGAACCTCGCTCACAGAGGCGCTCTTATTTCCAAATGTTTATTCAGTTAAACCCTCAGCAAGTCGTCACCGGGAATTAGTTGCTTTCACTGAAGGCAGGTGATGTCACTGAAGCCAGGTGATGTAGACTAAGCTTCTGATTTCTTAGCTACCAAAAAGGATCTGCAAGCTGGGCGCCAGTGGCTCATGCCTGTAATCCTAGCTACTCAGGAGGCTGAGATCTGAGGATTGGGGTTCAAAGCCAGCCCAGGCAAGAAAATCTGTGAGACTCTTATCTCCAATTAACCACCAGAAAACTGGAAGTGGTGCTGTGGCTCAAGTGGTAGAGCACTAGCCTTGAGCTGAAGAGCTGACAGTGCCTAGGCCCAGAGTTCAAGCCCCACAACCAAAAGGAAAAACAAAACAACAACAACAACAAAAAAAAACTCCCCCAAAGAATCTGCAAGTTGTGCATGACCAAATGGACTTGATTTTGTTTGCAATCTGCCATCCACTCTTCCTTCCCCCTTTTTCTTGCTTATCCATTTTTGTTGTTGTTGTTGGTTATGGGGTTTGAACTCAGGGCATAGGCACTATCCCTGAGCTCTTTTGTTCAAGGCTAGTGCTCTATCACTTTGAACCACAGCACCACTTCTGGGTTGTTGTTTTTTTCTTGAACTCTGGGCCTGGGTGCTGTCCTTGAGCTCTTCAGCTCAAGGCTAGCACTCTACCACAATGCCACTTCTGGTTTTCTGGTGGTTATTGGAGAGAAGAGTCTCACAGACTTTCCTGCCCGGGCTGCCTTTGAACTGTGATCCTCAGACCTCAGCCTCTTGAGTAGCTAGATTACAGGCGTGAGCCACTGGCACCCGCCTTCACTTCTGCTTTTTTTTTTTAGTGTTTAATTGGAGATAGTTGTCTCACTGGAACTTTTCTGCCCAGGTTGGCTTTGAACTGCAATCCTCAGATCTCAGCTTCCTAAGTACAGCTACTTAGTTACAGGTGTAAGCCCCTGGTGCCCACCTACCTATCACATTTGATCAGTCATTTCCCTCCCTCTTCTATTGGGCTCTGAATCTACGAGCGCTAAGCAACTTGTTGAATTGACCTTCCCAGGTGGAGTCCTTGGAAGGCGACAGGCAGCTTCCTGGCTCTGTTGAGTGAGGTTGCAAAGACAGGGCATTGAGGAAGAAACATATAAGAATAGCTATTTGCTTTGCTTCCTTTTATTCCAACTCGACAGCTTTCAGAATAAGAAAAATAAAATAGATCAAACCTCAGGTGCAAAATTGCTTGTCTCAAGATCTAAGAGATAAACCATGTAGTTTCAGTGATCACCACTAGAGGTCAGTAGAGATCTTGTGGTATATTTTGAGGTAGTTTAACATTAGGTATGACACTGGAAACTTTATCCTGTCTCTGGTGCCTCAAGAATATAGAACTAACCCACAGGGGGAATTTCTTTGTTTGGTTTGATATCAGGTGTTTCTGCAGACACCAGTACGCGACTCATAGTTTTATGTCGCTGCTGATTTACGAAAAAGTTGAATATGAGTTTATGGTTTCTATGATTTGGCATCTCGAATGCATCTTTAATCTGTAGACGTGGTTTTTGTTGTTCAGTATCAATCAGTTCATTCTCCAGAGTCTGGTTAAACCTTTTCTTACACTTCCTCTATGCCCAGGAAGGTATTCTCATGTATCTGAATAATTTTGCTTGTATGTCAACTGCTTTTAAAAGTACAAAGCTGATCTAATCTAGCTTTAGTTAAACCTCAAAGCCCAACACATTTAATCACAACAAACATTAATACAGAGCCAGGCACTTGCAGCTCACACCTGTAATCTGACCTGTGCCGGAGGCTGCGATCTAAAGATGGTGGGTCAAAGTCAGTGCAGGCAGAAAAGTCCATTAGACTCTCACCTCTTATTAACCAACAAGAAGCCACTAGTGGAACTATGGATCAAGTGGTAGAGCTCTAGCCTTGAGCACAAAACCTCGAGGGCAGTGCCCAGGCTCTGAGTTCAAGCTCCAGGACTGGTTCAAACAAACAAATAAATGGAAAAAAATAAGTTAATACATCTTTATTGAGATTTAATTCACGTACAATAAAAGTTGCTAATTTAAGGGTACATTTGGTAGGTTTAATAATTCACAAAAGTGTATAATCACTCAGTCTAATAGTAAGTACCCATCTCCTACTGAGGGGGACCCGCCCCATACACCCAGTTCCTCTCTTTTTAATGTGGTACCATGTCACCACCACCACCACCCGGAAGGCCTCCTCTGCCCCTTGGCCACCCAGCAGTGCTTTTACATCTCCATCCTGGCATTCCCTTGCATTATGCTCACAGGCCCACAGAGCAAACTGCTCCCATGGCTACCTCCCCTCTGCCTCCAGACTTCATTGACCTTTCCTGTGACTCCTTAAAGGAAACTGGGCTGTTTGTGTCACACTTGGAAAGATCTCTGAGCAGTTTCTGTTGCTCTCCTGGCCACACTGGTGGGACCGGTTTTAAACTGCTTCTGCTCAGCTGCCAGAACAGCTTTCCTTCTACAAAGACTTTTCATTCTGAGAGCTGTTTGAACTTGCAGCTCTCCTGGGTGGGTGGGACAACATTCACCAACAGGGGAGGAGGGGGAAAGGGAAGGAGGGAGGGAGGGGCAGAGTCAGAGACAATTACAGAAAAACAGAGCTACAGATACAAACTCAAAAAGAAAGACATAGAGAGACAGACTCGAAGAGAGACAGAGAGTTTATGAACAGTCATTGGTCTCTGTTAGCTTGGCCTGGAAAAAAATGGCCCCTTCCCCTTTGCTTTCCCTCTGCTCACGCATGGCCCTCCCTAGAAGTCACAGCCAGCACCTCTAACCCAGGCAGTGGAAAGGCCCCAGGTTCTGAGGTCACTTCCTTTTCCTCTGAGGTCTCAGTCCTCATCCACCCTGGTCACGCCTCCTATGCACTGTGATAGGTTCCTAGACTCTGATGTCACAGCCCCATCTGCTGTGGTCATACCTCCTCCCTACCCTCTCCCTATATAACCGGTTTCTTGGCTCAAGTCACTCCTCTGCATGCCTCCATCTTGTGTAGGCTGGTGGGTCAGTTCTTAAACACGCCTCTCTCCCTTCTCCAGACCTTACGGTCTCCATCAGAGCAGAAGGGGAATTGGGATTGAGGAGAGGTGGGAAAAGGT